GATTCTATGCTTGATTGTGATCTACGATTTACAGCGTCCACATACCATCAGATGGACTGTGAGCTCGTTTGTAACACTTATTCTATAAAAAATCTGAAGTCCGGGCTGATGTTAGGTACTCGTGCTATCGATGAAATTATATCGAGAGTGAGTTATTTATGTAAAGTGGAGACTTATAGGAAAAACACAATATATGAAGATCATCAGATGGACTGTGAGCTCGTTTGTAACACTTATTCTATAAAAAATCTGAAGTCCGGGCTGATGTTAGGTACTCGTGCTATCGATGAAATTATATCAAGAGTGAGTTATTTATGTAAAGTAGGAGATCCGGAGTATCCGTGGACTTATAGGAAAAACACAATATTATTTGTTTTTTTTCTTGAACGTGTGTTTGTGTGGAATACGAATGACAGAGATTTTACTTTAATTCGTTCGTGTAATTCGAGACGTTCAAGTTTCTTGATAAGCATTCGTCAGAGACCGTGTCAAATGTCTTTAGTAAATCTGAAAATAAACTGATTTTTTTTTTTTTGATTAAATATTCGTAACTCCATGATTAGTTGATTAAAGCACAGCTTCTGAGTTGGATATTTTTTTATATTATTCCAAACGGTATTTGGGACGACAAATTTTTCTTTTCTTATGTATTTTGGAAAGGCCGCCGGAATTAAAATCATATAATTCTTGCCATATATTTCTTCAAAAAGCTGTCCTTACTTATTATGTTAGAAAATCAGGTTTATGAGGGCAGAATCAATACACTCTCATTGGTAAAGCTTGTCTTCGTCATTATTCTATGGGACATAGATTTGACATTTTTGGATGGGCTTGCCATAATTAGTCGGTTATCGGACCCGGCGATATTTGGGTCTACATCCTTATCTTTCTTTTGACCAAAACTCTACCCTTGCATTCCCTTATAAGTCCCAAGTTTCATACTCTGAACAGTTGAAGAACTCACATATTAAAATTTGTAACACAATGAATCTCTTGTTGTCTTCTACTTTACGTACCTGAAACAATACAAATAAATGTTATTATATCATTTATCAGAAGTAAAACTATCGTTGAGTAAAATTATTATCACATTTTAATATTATAACTTCTGGGCAAATGGGTCGATTGGAGTACAACCACACTTTCCCATAATATTAAAGTGAGATAGCTGCATGTATATAATGTGTGATGGGCGACGAGGTCGAAGGACATTTGTACTGTTGGCGAGGCATTCCCATTTTGTCCTCAGGGGTAAATGGAGACCATCAGTCAGACTCATTGGAGACTTAACGGAGATCTCAATGGAAACTAGCACAGGACAGGATTACAGTGCACGAACGTATGGGATACACAATCTCATACTCCGATGAGATGGCAATCGGGTATGACCGGAGAGGGATTACTACTTTACTTTATTTACTCGTACTACAAAGCACAAAATATTTTCATTACTTCAAGCTGCTACTGAGAATTTCTCGACAGAAAAATTCAATTACTGATTTTGGTCCGACTTTTAGAACGGGGATTCGAACGCGGGATCACATGATCGACAGTCGCACTTGTAATAGAACAAGGCTGACAAATAAAATCGGCTATAACTCAGGAGTAAACATTTTAATTTGAATGATGATCAAATGTAAATTTCTCCACTCATCTGCACTCCTGAGCCGTGGTAGCTCGCTTTTAGGGGCTAATAATAATAATAATAATAATTTATTTTCAGACTTTGTCCATAAAGATGTTAGTAGAACAATAACTACTTAGAACTAATGTTAGTATTTAACTTTTTTTTAAACTTAACAAATTAAATATCGCTCCTACGTTACAAATATCTTATTTATTCAATTTTATATGTAGACTCAACCAGTGCTTCATAATGGCAGAATCCCACCTATCAGCAAGTGTATTCAGGATGCTGTTGGTAGAGGTACGTAGCCGATTCATTAATGAAGCGGACCTTTTACGTATTATGGCATGAAAGCCATCCGTGTGTGCCTCGACGAACATGGCAGAGGCACTACAATAACGCGGCAATCCTAACAGCACCCTGAATGCATTATTGTATTGTACACGCAGGACATTGTATGTCCGCTGCGTGTATCTGACCCACAAGTTGCATGTGTAAAAGCACTGACAATAAGCTTTAAAAAGCGTAACTTTAACTTCTTTAGTACATCGTGCAAACCTGCGGGCCAGCATATTACAGCGAACAGCCGACGCCCTGCGTTCCCTTTCTATATCCAAGTCATCCTCTAAGTCCTCTGTTACCCAGTGGCCTAAGTACTTAAATTTGACGACTCTGTTCAAAGGACTATCACAGAGCTTAACAGTAGACATGGTGAGCTGCCTTTTAGTGCCTGTTAGTGCCTGAATTAAAAACCATGAGCTCGCTCTTCGTTACATTATACTTGAGCCCATGGGTCTTTGCGTAGGATCACAGATCCCTAGCAGCTTTCTGAGTGCACCTATCGTGGGGCTCAGCAGCACCATGTCATCTGCATAGCTTATGTTATTTATGCAATCTCCGTCTATAGAACAACCGACCTTAGTGCTGCTGAGCTCCACAATCAACTGGTTTATGTATAAGTTGAAAAGCGTAGGCGAACTCAACCCTCCTTGTCTCACCCCGCATTCCAGCCCATACCCTCAGAAAAGCTGCTACCCCATCGAACATAGTTTATTTGGTTACTATACCAATATTTAAATACGGAGACAATTTCCTGGGGCAAGTCAGTTTCCTCCTGTAACTTTCGCCATAAAATGTCATAAGAGACTAGATCAAAAGCTTTTGATAGATCTAAAAACAGGCATACACCGGCGTTTTTCTGTGTAGTACCTAACAGTCTGCTTAAGACACAAAATTGCACTCTCTGTGGATAGTCCAGGTCTGAACCCAAATTGAGCATCATGCAGATGAATGAGCTTTCTCAATTTCCTGTCAAGCAGACCGTCCAGCACCTTAGCCACTATGGTGGCTAGTGAGATTGGCCTGTAATTATTTAAATCTGATATATCTCCTGTTCTGTTCTTAACGATAGGCACCACAATTGTCTTCATGAGATCAGTCGGAAGATATTGATGAGCTATACATAAACTTAGAAACATAGCCAACACTCTTGGCAGATGGGCACCAGCATGTACCAGATGTTCAATGCTAAGCCCATCATGCCCTGGTGATTTACCTCTAGTCATAGAATTTATTACTTCAAAAACTTCTTTGGCAGAGATCCTTACACACGATCCACCTGCAAAACGTCCACCATCGATTAATCTCGATGACGGACCCCACGGTGACTCTACTTTAAAATGCTCTTTAAATAGATTGGCTATGTATCCAGGCTGGTTGTAACCCTGAATATTAGCCGGAAGGCTCGACTCGAAGGTTTCCAGAATTCTTTAAATTTCTTTTGCGAATGACTTGATGCGATCTTATCCATTCTTAATTGCTCTGCGTGATTTTGACACCATTTTAACTTTGACTTGAAATTCCGTCTTGTTTCACACATTTTATTATAATAATAACCCGAAGATGGCTTACCGTATAAGACCCACGTTTGAAAGGCAAGTCGAGCCTCTCCGTGGGCGTCTCTAACGTATTTATTCCACCCCACAACATATTTCTTATTCCTTTTGTTATTACAACTGGCTTGAGGTGATTCTCTAAGAATAGTAACAATATTACTGTACATATTATCTAACATTAATTTGTGATTATCATTAATACATATATTATTACAACAATTCATAAACTCCTGTGGAAAATTTACGTCTTTTAATTTAGAGTGACACAATTTTTTATAAGTTTCTATTTGGTTATTATTTCTGACACCCCAAATTATTTTATTATTACAGAAATAGCTTACCACATTTTTTGATCTTAATAAGTTAATATTGCACTCGATCAGCAATGGAACATGATCCGACCAGTAGATATCATACAGTACAGTGACATCTATGACTGAGCGCCTTGCGGCCTCAGTTACAACGCAATGATCCAACCAGCGCCGACAACCGTGCGCATCACTAGTGTAAGTATAGCTGCCCGCTGGGAGGACCTCCAAATCAACACAAATCAACTGGTAATCCGTGTAAAAATTTATCATTTCGTTACAAAATAATGTACCGGGATGCGAATTAAAGTCACCTAACGCAAATACAGAGTCGACATTTTCATTTTCAATAATAGCACTTATCTCGCTCATGCACGATGTAAATTCTATTAAATTGTCTACTGAATCCGTTGGCATATAAACCGAGAATATTATGTAAGTTCGTTTACTATGGAACACTTTAATTGCTGTGAGACGCACACTACTACATTCGACCACACTGACACAATCAAACGCATTTTTCCTCCACAAGAGGGCCACACCACCATAGGGTCTGCCTGTGAGTATACCGGACGACGTATCAACCGCTGACTTACCAGTATAGCTGAAGTCTTGATGTATCTCGCCCAGAAACGTTATGTCATCAGGTAGAAGCCATGTCTCCTGTAGCGCTAGCACGTCAGACTTTTCACACAGGTGTCTTACGCATTCCAAAGAGCGTTTAACAGATTTACAATTGAAAGTAGTAAATTTTGCCGTACTATACATGAACGATTTTTTTTACACATTATCTGAGGTCTCCTGATGTCTGTACTTAAAATGCACAAATCTTCTGAATAAGATGCCGTCCGGCCAAAGACTGTCATTTAAAAAGACAGCAAGTTTTTGTTTGGACACGTATAATTTGAACGCATTATATTATCTTTTTTCATAGTCACTTTTTCTAGTGTCACTAACTCGTTAGTTTTATTCCTAATATAATCGACGATATCTTTTTCCAGCGTCTCTCTATGTACGTTAGATATAAATAGCGGAATTTTCAAGTCCGCTGATTTAAATTTCTCCTCAGGTTTTACTTCTGCTTTTCCTGTCTTACCTATAAAACTGTTACGCAATCTGCGCTTTTGAACTTTTATCCAGGCCTCTGGCGGTTCTTCATTTTTCCAAGCTTCACCTTTTTTTCAATATTTCGGCCATAGTTAGCGAAGTCTGAAAATTAACATCACAAGATGTATCTTTTATTGCGTTATTATTGTTAGTAGACTTATTCACTACAATTGTTTTGTCATCATTCATCCTGCTTTTACTCGGTGAGTTGTGCATTGGAATAGGAGTTACTTTAGTGCCTCCTGAGCTGAATGATTGCCGCCCATCCGCACCGTTATAAGCAGTCACGCCTCCAGATGTAAAGTGGTCAGCCTTATGCATATCTGACACAGGTGCGAGTGCATCGACACTATCACGAGCACGACTAGCTACTTGTGCGATAGCTGTCTTTTCCGTCTCTGTCTGTACGTCAGTTGTTTGTAACGGTACATCAGCTGTTGATAACTCGTGTGACAAGCCCATCGGCCCACTGTCGCCGAACGTAGTACCCACATCTAACAAGAAGGCACTGTACCTTCTACCTACCCTATGATGATGAGCTGGTGATGTGGATGTTTTTAAGAAAGATATATCTTTCTTTAGCTCTTCCAGGTGCGTCTTGGTTACATAATTATCCTTGATGATCTTAACCTCCTGTTGCAACAAAACTATATCCTTCAGCAGTCGAGTTACATCTACATGATCGAAAGTGACCGGCGGAAGTTTTTGTAGGTCACGAGCAACAAAAATAGGCGCACTATCAGGGTCTGTTTCTTTGAAAAGACTAATGATGTCTTCTAACTCCCTTTGGGATTTCCCATCTGTACGTCGAGTTAATTTTCCATCTCTGCGTCTTATATTTTTTCTTTTACCTGAGGGCAATGACTCGAATAGAAAACTTTTTGCATTAGTGATATCTTCAGCTGTAAAGGCACTACTACAAATTCGGACAATGCTCTCCTCGTCCATCACATCTGCCTTGTTTTGTATAAAGGCAAGCACTTCGCTTATCACAATGTTACAATTTGTACATTTTACCACTTTGGACGCCATTGTCTTACCGTACAATGACCTTTCGCTTACGCTCAAAGCGAACACATGTACGCGCTTTGCCGTTCCGCGTGCAACTGAGCTGAGCTAAGCGCTCGCTGTAAATTTTACAGTACGCGAGCAACAACGTCAAAAAATTACACTATATAAACAAGATAAAGCAGTCTAACAATAAAATAAAAACAATGTGGCATATTGTTCAAGAACGCACAAACAAAATAAACTTAAAGGTAAAATCGAATATTAAATTAAATATCAACAACCAAATTTCTTCTAACCCAAAACAGATCGCCGATAAATTTAATGATTACTTCTCCAATATCGGTGAAACAGTTCATCTACAAGCAAAGGGTCTTCCAGTTCTACATCCATCAGAAAACTCAATATTTATAGGCAGAGTAGGATTTGAAGAAATACTTAAAATATTAAATAGTCTAAAAAATAAACTAAGCCATGGTGTTGATGAGATTCCCCCAACATTGTTCAAACAATGTGCAAGCGCTTTAGTATATCCACTAACATTATTAGTAAACCAATCTTTTGAAGAAGGCGTATTCCCAGATATACTAAAACTTTCACTAGTGAAACCCATCTACAAAAAAGGTACACAAACGGGCCCAGGCAACTATCGACCTATCGCCTTATTGCCCACAGCCTCTAAAATATTTGAAGAAGCATTATACGACCGTATCTATAAATTCTGTGAAAAATATAATATATTTAATGAAAGTCAAAACGGTTTCCGCAAAAACAAATCAACAGTTCTAGCAATTTATAATTACATTCAAAAAATACATAATATAATTAACGATAAAAAATATGCTATAGGAATCCTATTAGATATGTCAAAAGCATACGATACAGTGCAATATAACATATTACTAAATAAATTATATGACATAGGAATCCGAGGCCCGTGCTACAATCTGTTAAAATCATATTTACACAATAGAACGCAAATAGTAGAAATTGAGTACTTTAATGACAAATTACACAAAATTGAAAAAAATTAGATCCGATACTAAAACTATTAATGCCTTAATACTTCAAGGCAGTGTGATGGATGTAGAACTCTACTTTAAAATGCTCTTTAAATAGATTGGCTATGTCTCCAGGCTGGTTGTGACCCTGAATATTAGCCGGAAGGCTCGACTTGGGATTCAGTTTATTCGTAAGTTTCCAGAATTCTTTAAATTTCTTATGTCTTATGTTTTTAATTTACATTAATGACTTTGCAGAGGCTCTCAAGGAATACTGTGTCATGTTTGCGGACGATATTTCTATTCTTATATCAAGCCAAAGTCCAATAAATCTAACAAAAAAAATTAACAATATATTATTAAGAACAACGGACTGGCTAACTAAACATAACCTGCGGATAAACTTATCGAAAACTAAAATAATGTCTTTTCACCCATATCAAAAACCAAAATTAGATATAAAAATAGATAATGACGGATTCACTATGGAATGGATACAGTTAACGAGCATAACCTACCGGGCCTAATAATAGATACCCATATTACTTGGAAACCACATATAGAAAAATTACATAGGAAGTTAAGCAGCTTTATGTACGCGTTACGAGAAGTAAAAAAAACAACAGATGTAACCACCGCGATAACAACCTACTACGCGTAGCTACGGCATTGTCCTATGGGGATGCAGTACTGAGGCCCCAAGTTTATTAACTAAACAAAAAAAACTAATACGGATCATTGCTAATCTACAAAACACAGAAAGCTGTAAGCCTTACTTTAAGAAGTATAACATTTTAAGTCTGCCCTGTATCTATATTTTGGAACTATGCAAATTTGTCCAAAAACATCCAAGCTTGTACACAAAACGCGATGACATCATATCTAGGAATCTAAGACAGAGAAACAAACTAGTGCTACCAACTTCAAAACTAAAATCTCATTCATCCAGCCCATTTGCCTTGTCTATAAAAGTATATATTAATTACCCGAATATATAAAAAACATTAAGAACGAAAAACCATTTGAAAAAATTAAAGCAACTACTTATAAACAAATGTTACTATAGTACTTCTGAATTTTTAGAAGATAAAAATATAATATAATATAGATATAAATATAAATGTTAGGTAATAAGGAAATGCCATCCTACTAAATAAATTACAATAAAAAATTATAATAAAATTTAAAATGATTCAAATAATTTAATAAAAATTCAATTGTGCTACCTATAATAATATATCAAACGTTAATTTCAATTAATAAATAATAACAATTATAATAGCCGTATTCCATATTCAATGTGTGTATGTTTATATAATATCATCATCATCATCATCATTACAGCCCTTCACAAGTCTACTGCTGAACATAGGCCTCCCCCAAGTAATGCCACAAAGCACGGTCCTGAGCCACCTGCATCCATCGAATTCCTGCATATCCTATCAGGTCGTCACTCCATCTAATGGGGGGTCGCCCTACACTACGCCTACCGGTACGAGGCTGCCACTCAAGAACCTTTCTTCCCCATCGGTTATCGGTTCTTCGAGCTATATGGCCGGCCCATATTATATAATATAACGAATGTTAATATTAAATGATTATTTAGCAAATAATAATAATAAAACAAAATAAATGTTCCTCCTTCATAATATTGCTGTGCTCATGAGGGTCTATAGAGATACCATAAAACTATGTAACACCTTTTGTAACCTATGGAATGCAATAAAGTTATTGAGTATTGAGTATTGCAACATGGGTTCGATCCCCGGCGCCACCAATGAAATTGTTAATTGCAATTTTAAGTGCAGATTTACCACGTGCTCAGCGGTGAAGGAAAACATCGTGAGGAACCTGAATGTCTGCGAAATAATAAAAAATAATTAGAAAACATGTGAAAGTTCGCCAACACGCTTTGGGGCAGCGCGGTGGATATTTACTTGCCTAACCCTATTAGAAACGAGAGAAGGCTTGTGCCCAGCTGTGGGACGTATATATTAACTTTACTTCTTTTTCACTTTATTCCACTCCTAAGTGTGGAAAAATAGAGGATATTTTTGTAACTACTTTGAAGACATTCCAATTGTTTTTTGAATAAAAAATTTTGAATAAAAAGCAAAAAAAAAAAAAACAAAACTTCAAAAACTAATTAAAAAAGAGTAAAATAATTTACATATTATAATAAATAAGATGATAAGATTTCAGACATATAATAGTAAACAAGGGCCACTTAAAATTGAATATGGGAAAAACATAATAGAAGAAGTTGACCATACTAGCTTTTAGGGGTAACAAAAGACAAGTTCTGTAATTGGAAGACACACATTGATAACCTATGTAAAAAGTTAGATAGATAGTTGTATTCCCCTTTTTCGCAAACATAAAATATTGCCGCTTCCAGCATTATACGTTTACGAAATCTATGTCTTTGTTCACAAAAATAGTAATTTATTAGAAAAACACAACGATGTTGTAATTAGGGCTATTAGAAACACATAAATTGTGTGTACCAAAGCAAAGAATACAATTCTACTCAAAAATGTATATTGTATGGCAATACATGTATACAACAAATTGCCTGTTTGTTTCAAAAAGATCAATATAGGAATCTTTAAAAGTAAATTATTTCAATTTCTTTTAAATAAATGTTATTTCTCAATAAATGACTTCTTAAATGATAAATTTTACTCGAATTGTATTTATTGAAGAATTTAGTTTTTTGAAACGTTTTAACTAAAAATATTATGAATTGATTGATATTCTTGTTTCATATAAATTTAGTTTCCATAAGTATTGCTGCAAGTATCTTTATACTATATAATAATTAATGTTTTAGTTTTCTACTTTATTGTAAAATTATCTATCTGAAAATATTTGTACGCCGGAAACGGCAGAATATTTAAGATTGAAATTCTTTTGTAATAACAGTAATGTACCATATCCTAACAAATAAAGCATCTTATCTTATCTTTACTTAATTCTGTATTCTTTATCCTTTGATACACTATACCTTAGCACTGATATCACCTTAATTTTTAATAACACTTCTTGATTTAAAAAAGGCATGTCTGAACATATTAGCTCTTGAAATGAACTCACAAAAAAAAAGATATTTAATCAGATTCAGAGTAAAAAGATTTGACTGAAGCTGAGTCAAAGTCGCTTGCAACAATTGCCGACGCTTCTTCGCTGTTCGCAATTAAATTCTTAATTTTCTTTAATATTTCAAATCACACGGAGATAAAAGTGTTTTCGAGGCGTACTGGACCAGTATGCGAATTGTAGGGCGGCCCCCATTAGATGATGTGACGACCTGTTAAGAGATGCAGGAAGGCGGTGGATGCAGGTGACTCTGGATCGTACTGTGTAGGGAAAGGTCGATGTTTAGCGGGGATTTGTGATAGGCTGTTGTGATGATGGTGATTAATATTTCCATAAATTCCATCAATTTTCTAAGCTTTTTGTGTATATGGTAGAGCAACGCTGCAGCTATACTATTGTTATAACTTGAATGGGTCAGCTCAAACGGGGTAGGATCACGCTCACACAGAATAATTAAAACAAAACTGAAAAATTATTTATTAGCCTACCTGCAAGCAAATTCATACATTGAACAAATTATTTTTACGGATTTTTAAGTAAGTAAGTAAGAAAATATGTATTAAAAACTAAGCAAAACACATTTTTAAATAATATTATAACTAAATAAAATGTAACAAATACCTATATAGTAAAGTAAAAAATGAAAAACATAACTTAACCCTAAGTTGCACTTGTAACAACTAAACACATCAAATGGTAAGGTCAAAAATATAAATTTAAATGCTGGTTTCGCTCATGAACCTGGACTTAACTGACTGGATGTAACAAAAACAAAAACTTATTTCGCTTAACACTAGATGAACCTTAATCTATTATCGCTAAACTAAAAGCATAATTCAAAATGTCGTGATTCCCACAGTGACACTAAACTAAGTAACGGAAAAAACGTTTTTGGGATAAGGCACAGCATTTTTTAATTCCACAACAAGCCGAAGCTCAACTTCGGATATTGGAATATAGCAAAGTTCAACTTAACTTAACTCTTACATCATACAAACTCGTAGCATTCTCCTTATTTTGTGTTCATAGGGAGTGATGGGATAATCTGCAGGGGAGGCCTATGACCAGCAATGGATTTGCGATGCGGTACAATGAGTGAATACATTCTGCGGCTGACGGTATGTTGTCGTTTGTTCGTTACATCCCTTACAAGTCCACTGCTGAACCCCTACCTAGTCCAAGGTATGCCACAAAGCGCGGTCCACAATTCGTTTACCGACGCGGTATTTATTATGAAAAATGTTATGTCAAAAATCAAATTAACGTATTTAAGATTTACGTAAATTGTTGAAAAATATACTTTGCAGCATGTTATATTTTAACACCTGCAATTTGTATCAACAACGATACGGTTCATCAAGCTCGCAGATAACTTCATTTTTAAATTTCCATTTTTAATTGCATCTGTCAACATATCATTGGTGCTGGCAGGGATCGAACCCGGTTTGCTCGCGTACTGTGAAATTTACAGCGAGCGCTAACCATCTGAGCTACCACGGCTCTCTTTGCAATTTTAAGTGCTGATTTACCACGTGCTCGGCGGTGAAGGAAAACATCGTGACCTGCATGTCTGAGAAATAAAAAAAAAGTTCAAAGACATGTGAAGTTCGCCAACACGCATTGGGGCAGCGTGACGGACACTTCCTTGCCCTAAAACCCTCTCAGAAATGAGGGGAGGCCTGTGCCCAGCAGTGGGACGTATATAGGCTGTAACTTTACTTTACTTTTACTGTCAACATGCCACCAACTGCACAGTATTTTGAAATGCTGCACGAAAATCAGCAATTTTATGTTGTTAAATAAAATCCCAAGCGTTTCCTTATTTTTGCTTTACTATTGTTTTAATTTAGCTTATAATTGAATATTTTGATTTTGATATATTGATTAGATTTTTCTATAGAATAAGGAAGGGGTACAGTGGTCTATCAACGTTAAATTTATCCCCAAATAAGAATCGAAATGTAGATGCGTTGTCAACCCTGGGGATATAGATGCATTTACTCGTTTTTATTAAAAAGGTTCTTCAGTTCTAAGTTCTAGTGTTTAAAGTTTTTTTATTAGAAGCTTTTCAAAGAAAACTCCAACAGTATCTACAAAAACGCGTGCACTTCAGAAACTACACGTGGTAGAGCCATGCTGCAGCTGTCGATGGTTGTACCACGTTTTCGGCTCAACCAGGGAAGAGCCACGCTTTCATAGAATACCAGCGTGAAATAGCAGCTTAATATTTCTGTCGTGTAAAGAACCGCTTACCTTTTTTACACTAAACGAGGCATTCCATATGACATACCGACAATACAATTCCATTTTTATTTTTCATCGTAGATGTAGAGGTCTATGGGTCACATCATCCACCTACCATCAGGTGGGCTGTATGTTCGTTTATCACCTACTCTATAAAAACACCTCTTCTATGGTTGCTTGAATGTTGTTATATTTCAGCGTTAAAAATGTATCATTTTAAGGTGATTTTCTATTTTAAAGAATAAAAAGGAAGTCACAGGGTGCTATATAAAAGCTTAACAAATGTGTCCAGGAAGTTCCTCATTTTATGCTAAGTTAAAGCCTACAAAAAATTCTTTCTGGTCTGGATATTTGTCCTTGTGCAATATATGTATGTGATTTTACATACATATACGGGAAATAGAACCCAGTAAACGGGAATAGTATGTTTTGTAACATCACCAATCATCATCATCATAGCACATCACAAGTTCACTGCTGAACATAGACCCCCGCAGAAATTACAACGTTCTGTCCTGAGCTATCGGCATCCAACGACTACTTGCGTGTTTCTTCAAGTCGTCTCTTCATCTTGATAGTACGAGGCTACCAATCGAGGATTTGTCTTCCATCGGTGGCCAGTTTTTCGAGCTATAGAAAGGGATCACCTTTCCATTTTAGTAACCGAAAACCGCACTTCTAACATATTTACTAAGACAATATGTAATTAGAGCACAACTAGTAAACTTAACTAAGTTATGAGACCACCAAAGTAAATTCGACAAACAGTAGTTACAATGGGACTGGAACTAATTAGACATGCCAACAACTTGTGACAGCAAATTGTACGAGTTAACGTGTTTTCTCAATAATGTTTATTGCCATAGTTGTTTGAGAGATACTGATTTTATTAGATATTATTGCCATTTGATCTAAATTATTTGTACTATCCCTACAAGCTTCGCAAGCAATAACTTGACAAAGTTTTGATCCACCAATCCGTCGAATGGCATGGCAGTGCGTAAAATACGAACAAACAAACATAATATTTTTGTAGTACAAAACATTTGTTACCAAAAACGTTTCTAATTGAGTTTTTCTGTCAAAATATTCAAAGTAGCAGTAGGAAGTTGGCGGTGTTTCAACCGCGTGCCTCGGAAAGTACGTAAAACAATGAATAAAATTTAATTATATGCAACATGCATTAAAAAAAATTATTGTCACTCCGTTTCAGTGTACCGGTTAATACCCGAAACCCGGCCTAGGAAAATGGTTTTTGCTTTCTCTTTAATTAATAATTAATGTGCAGTTAGAAAAACTTTAATTTCATAGGACTTGAATAATCCTTTGACATATGTTTGTTCCAGCAAACGAAAGAAATAATAAAGATCTGCAAATGAATTTCGATATCAGTTATGCGAGGATGAAGTCGCGCATAAAAGCTATTATTTTATATAGCTCTGCCCTGATTTAATTTAAAAAATAGTTTTGAAACAAAATGTGGGTATCAATACTAACTTACAGTTCGCTATAAATGAACGTCGTAAGTTTGTCCGTAATGTATGGATGATATGCTTTTTTATTGCATGTAACATTATACATGGAATATGAAACATGTAAACGAGGTCAGTTTAAAAAAATTAAACTTATACACTTTCGTTAGGATTCGATACTAGACATAGTGTATCGAACAATTAAAGCCCCGACTGTAGAAGCTTTTAAGTGATTTTTTTTAGTTTTTAATTTTTTTTAAAAGTCGGTTTTGACTTTTTATTTAAGTTTGATATTTTGGTACCTTTTTGATTAGACTAAGGAAACAAGTTGAACACTACAGGCCGCCTTTAATTGTTGGTAATTGTTTTGTGTTCTTACATTTGGAACATTTTACCGCATGTCATCGAGGTCAATTTAAAAAATTAACCTGATATACTATCGAGGATTCGGTGCGAGAAGACATAGTGCAATGAAAAGTAATTTTATACATGGTAGAGCCATGCTGCAGTTATATTAGAAGTATAGTTGTAGTACGAAAGGGTCGGTTCGACCGGAGAAGGACCACCCTCTCACAGAATACTAGCGTAAAATAGAAGCTTAATGCTGCTGTGTTTCGTATGGTGAGTGTGGAGAACCGGAGACCCTCTTTACTGGAAACGAGGCATTCAATCTTAGTCCTCGCGGGTGACAGCGCATCTACATTTTGATTCGTAATCGAGGATAGGTGTAGATGTCTATGGGCCACAGCAACCACTTACCGTCAGGTGGACTGTGTGCTCGTTTGTCACCTTATCTTATAAAAAAAATTATTTGCCTTCACCGCTGAGCACGTGGTAAGTCAGCACTTAAAATTGAAATTAACACTTTCATTGGTGTCGGCGGCGATCGCACCCGGGTTGCTCGTGTAGTGTGAAATCTACAGAGAGCGTATAGCCTGAGCTACCACGACTCATTATATGGAAATTGTGTTATTATTTTTAGTTCTTTGACGTCGGTTGCTACTTTTTGTTACTTTGATATTTATTGCTGTTTCGAGTGAACTGAGTAAAAGGACAAGGTCAAGGTCATAGTTCGTCGTCGTCTTTATAGTTACCTTATATCTTCATGCCCTATTTTAATTATCTTTTCAAATTTAAACAGTGATCCGATCCGATCCCTTAAGGTATAGCCCATTTAATAAAAGAGTATCATGGATCTGTTCGAAATTAGTGAAGATATTGAAAATATTTAAGTAATACAGTCGATTT